CATAAATTTGACATTTCCGCTCTAAGACAAGGGTAAATTAGCACAGAAGAACATCTGAAAATAAAAGTATTTTACGAAAAACAAGTATTTTGTTTTGAATAGTACCAATTTAATTAAATTGATTTAATATTTTCTTCTTGATTCCAATCATTTTGCCCCCCCCTTCATTTCCCGATCAACAACCAACACCTATTAGAACTTAGGAAAGTCTTTACAATTTAATCTACTTAGCAAATATAGATACAAGTGCATTTTAAGATATATTTTCTTAAATTTATCGAGAAAATACGATTTAAGTTAAACATATCTTCCTGATTTAAGACTCTTAATTTCTTTGCTGAATTTTATCTTATCCTTTTGCACCATCTAGGTATTTTTTCCACAAATGAAATTGCTATGAATTATCAACCAACGGAAGAGAATTCTAATATTAACAAACTCTATAGATCAAATTAAATTGTTATTAAAAATGCAAAAATTTGTAAATTGTGTTCTTATTGACTATAACACTGTAAGGCGATTGCAAAAGTCAACAGGTAAAAAAAAAGACGTCGTTATTGTGACGTCAAATAAGGCTGCTCTGAACAACATAGCCCCCTTTGAATTAATAATAAAGGACTATTGTTTTAAATTATATCAAATAAATATTAATTAAACCATCAAAACCTTTTTTTTAATCATTTTGTATCTCTTTATGACATCTTTACTAGTGTAAAGATGTAGAACACTTTATGTAAAATAAGAACAAGTTGAATTTAGGACACATATAAAATTAACTAAAATACAGACATAAAAAATAGAGATAATTTGGATACGCCGAAATCCATTTTTTAGCTATATACTAGTATGTTAATTTTGTAATATCATCTTATAGACCGTATTATAGTAATATCTTTTTATGCAAAAAGAAAAAAAAATTAATCTTTTGAAATAGAAGAAGGTATCGCATGATTTGATGCAGTACTTTTTTTTATTCTTAATGTCTTCTGTCACACTGGCTGGGTTTTCCATGTGATAGTATGAATAGAAACGATCTGTTGACAATTCATTATGACAATCATGACTTTACAACTTGAATAGAGTGACAGTCAACATTTGACCTGCTATTAAGGCTTTGTTTCCACCATAGAATGTTGACGTTAAAAGAGACTGTTAATTTCCTTGTATATCAAGCTTTTCGTCAAAATGTTGCCTTGTTTTAGGAATTATACGTAGAACATACTCTGGCATATCGAATCAAATGGTAGACATATATTCCAAATGTAGATGATAATAGTATATCATTGCTATAATAAGAGGAGCTGAAGTTAAGGAAGCTGAAGTCATCACTGATCACAAAGTTTTATCGTTAGTTTTTTTTTATAAGGGTCTTTCTTTAACAAAATATCCAAAACATGCAGCCATAACAGATCTAAAGATATGCAATGCATTTATATTTATTCAAACTGTGTTTTCGTCCAGTGTGTATCAGATGAACACAAGAGAATTAAACTTTAAAGCTACTTTGTATCACTCCTTTTTGATTGGTGTACCGATTAAAGGGAAATTTTTTACAAAGAAATATATTTTTTCTACAGCCAGGGGGACTTTAACCTGTTAATGTTGAAAAAAGACCAAAGGTCATTATTCTTCAGCAGTCAATGTTCGTCTTTACACCAACAGTTATTAAGCGTAAACAGACCTTTTAGAAGCGGATGAAACTGATTAAATTTGAGCACAAGGAAGTGATGGGGATGAAAGTATATAAGTTTGATAAATTTTAAGAGGTAGTCCACTGAAAATCAGGCAATGGGTGGCACATCGCATGTCATGGATTTTTATTAATTTTTGCATATAGACTTATTAAAGCAAGTGTTTACACATGACAACATCAAAAAAATTTTTAGTGCTCCTCTAGTCCTATTTTTGGTAAGTGCTCAATTTTAAGTGCAAAAAGGTCAACATGGGGGTAAAAACAATTACTACGTTTTTATTTTGTTTTATATGTACCAGATACGCAAAACCTGGATGTGTCTATCAATATTATTTATACCATAGACTCTTATCTTTAGTTTTAGTAATGAATAAGCATGATAAGACTCCAATTTATATTTCTTTAGAAAAAAATATGTGGTCCAAAATTGAGTTTAGTAAGTAGTTTTTTGAATTCATTATCCAATTTTCATTACGTTATAAAACCCAATACATTTCAATGACAGATTTTTTTTCTCATGTTATTATGAATACAAAGTACAAACTTTTGAGTCACTCAATAAAATCAGTGGGCACCCGTATATTGAGAGAAATAAAAGGAGTCAAATTTACCTATGTTTTACAATTTTTCACAATTAAACCGATCCTGACCGGAATTATATAAAGAAGGAAATACTATAATTGTAATGTTAAATTTGGCTCATTTGTTGTAATATGGCCAAAAATTACTTGATTTATTTTTTTACATGTCTTATGGGTGGCAATTGTCCTTAGTTTTATAAATTTACACTTCTTGCATTATTTTCAATCGGGATCGGTTTTATTTCAATCGGGATCGGTTTTTACCGTAAAACTAGAAATATTTTGCATTTAATGTATCAGAAAAAAATATGCTGGTCTTTTATTTCTGTTCAGTTAGTCAACTGTTTTAAAATTATTTTATCCATGGATTCAAATGTTTATACAATGTATTTAAAGTAAAATGTCTTTTACGTACATGAAGATTACAATCATGTACAACATCTGTTCGATTTCTTGATACTTGGTATTAAAAAATCAAAGTATTTGTACATGCATTATGCAACAACTGAGAGCAAACAGCTTATCTTTATTAAATATCTTATTTCCAACTAAAGTTTTTTTTTTAATTCTCTCATGAATTAAAGAGTCCAATTCTATCATTGGCGAAAATATACTTGCACTACCTAAATGCAGAAAATATTTAAATGTGCACAGTCTCGGCTTTATCCAAATTTTTTAAACCTGTCATCTATAAAAGCCATTTCCCCTATATTTTCATCTTATAAGATTTAATTTTATATTAATAAGAAAATAAGTTATTTCATGTATAGTATTATTATTTAAGAGCCTAGAAATCGCAAGCAAAAAGCCGGGACGGGGTGGGGGGGGGGGGGGGGGGCAAGGCGGCATATTTAAAAAAAAAAAAACTTTCATTAATGGGAAAACATTTTAAAATTGGCCAACATGGTCACATTTTTTAACTTCATATTGAATGTGAGTATGTGATTATTTTAATCACCAAATTGAACCAAAAAAAAAAAAACAACAACAAACAAACAAAAACAATACAAAACAAAAAATACGCCCACAAAATCTTCCGTTTTAGTTGCAAATTGAAGTAGGGAGTTCAACAGTAATTTTCCTCAATAAATATTTTTTAAATCTTATTTTTCACTTTTTTAATAAAATATTTTTAATCGTACCGCAGATCGTTTACTTTGGTTTGACTGCATAGATACATTGTAAATATAATCAAGTGTTTTTTTTTTTTGTTTTTTTTTTTGTGTGTGTGTGTACAGATATCATGAAATAAACATCTCAACTCCGTTGACTTGAATTAAATGTTGCGTAAATCTAAAATATTCATCTTTCCTTGATAATCAGAAGAAAATAAAATCTCTTCACATCCCAATTTTATAAGAAATATTCAATATAAACAATTAATTATTTGTACGCATAGCCTAGTAAATCAGTTTAAAAAATTAGTTCTCGGACATGTACAAAATTACTTTTAGCTGAGACGTCGCCCGTGAAAAAAATACATTTTTTATAAAAATATATGATTATTTAACATGTAGGATAATGCACTCTGAAAAGTAATTGAACAGAAAAAGAGAAATTATTTATTTTTAATAGTTTTATTTGCGCTTTTATGCAAAGAATTTACAAACTTCTTTGGAAAACTTGTCACTATTTAATTGTGACGCAATATTAGTCAGGTATATGACATCACTGATACATCAATGGAAACGTGGATTCAACCTGAATTATACTGCCAATCTTAATCTAAATATTACGTTTGGAGGCGAAAATGAATTCTATTTTGAAAATAAAGTAGTAATTTTTTGTTAAATAATTTCATTTTGTGTATATATTCTAAATATTTCACTAGGATTTCGATAGTAAGGTGTTTAGCAGATTTACCGATGCCACGGGAGATAACTCTTACATCGCAAAATTTCATAAAAACGTCTCTATATTTTGACAGAAAACTACTATCAAAAGTGTTTTGCCCACCAATTTTATTTTTGAAACTGAAAGACGAAATATTTCTAGATTTAGTTCAGCATGAATTATAGTCCTGTTAAATAAGTATTGGAAATTACAGTTCGTTGTTTCTGACCTAAATTCAATGGTTTATATAGGGGAATTCAAGAACACGAAACAAAAGGATATTTTACTAAATAAGCAATTTTAAAACAAATCTTCGATTACATTATTCCATTTGGACTACATTGATATTGTTTTCAATAAAATTTCAAATATTCGTCACATTCGATGTGCCTCCTATTAATACAACCCTGCCTGGTTTTTCGGCGGACTGCCTCTTAAACACATGGAAGTAAAATACAGCTCCTTTCAAGGTTAATCAATATACATATATTCAAAGACGTATACATTGGTCTCAGTATTAATTTTCTTTAATTGTCAATAACCACCATCACAGCATTTGTGTGATTAAAAAAATGTGAGTGTATACATATGTTTTTGTTATAATAAAAAATGGATCAGTTTTATCGAGAAAATGCAAAATTAGAAAAAATTAGTAAAAAATACCTCAAAAATACCCCCAATGTTAGTGCAGTAGTAGACAAAATCAGACGAAAATACCCCGAATATTAGTATTAGTCTGCAACATTCAAAATTCAAGAGAACGTGTTGTGAAATATATACACTTAACATGAGAACCTTCATCGATTTCTATTGTTGATTTTTCGAGCATGTTTTCTACGAACACATTCTGTAAATAGATTTATGATACAGAGTGTATTTTGAACGAGGAAATCAGGATATAGATATTCAAGGAAAATGTTTTATGCATGAGGTCAAACTTCAAACTAATTTATTTTCATTATGTTTGTGTCCGGTCTCATGGAAGTAAAATGGCAAATCTGTATATAACAGGTGAGTATGTATCCAATAATAATTCTTCTGTATCTTCATGCATGACCATTTGTGCCTACTTGAACAAATGTTGTTTACCACATAATGAGACCGAAAAACCCAATTAATTTATGATAATTAAGATGAATTTTAAAGCATAAACCATAAAATATGTTCATGTGATACCGTGCATCTATGTAGTCAACGTTATTTATTGGATAGTATCTGTTTTAGGTGACATATTCTATGTTTTATGTCACATTTTCATTTACAATGAGTTTATATAATAAAGCTTCGCATAAATGTTATCATTAATTTCATATATTTCATGTACATGATAGGTTCCTAAATAGGGAACATTGGCCTAAACCTAAGAAGGAAGTGTAACTGTGTAACTACGGAGGAAAATCACTCTTCACGACCATTCTTCCTGTAGTAGAGTTACCGTAATAGATTAAAACAAGCTAATTCAGAGAATTCGTGTCCCCCGCTTAGGGAAAAAGTCGGATCCCCCTGACTGAATTTGTAGAATTATTAAAAGTATACATGTATACTGAAGCAAATAAAATACATGTATGTCAATATGCATATAAAGATTTGATTGCTTATTCTTTATTATGTGTATAGAAGATTCTTTTTATATGGAATATTTATCACACTGTAATGATGATTTTATAACCTCATAATTTTTTCATTTCACGTGCTGAATACTATCATTTAGTAAAAGAAAAAGAAAAGTATTAAGAAAAAAAAAAAGGATCGACCGAGACTCGATCCCGGGACCTCTCATTTGTGAAGCGAGAGACATACCACTAGACCACGTATTCTCTTTACAGGTAGTGAAGTATATGCAGAAGTGAAGTCACATACATGTATATATTCATGTTCGGTATTCTCAAAATTTTACACAATCCATGGTGTTTGATTTATAAAGCCTTTATTAAACAGTTCTAATAGGTGTAATAAGAACATAAAGTCCGCCGAGAACCTGTTTTATACGCAATAACTCTACTCATGCCCCTGTGCTAAAAATTGCGACATGTAATACTATAAATACTAATAAAACAAACAGAGCGGGGCACTTTGAGAGGGGTGAGAGAGGTCCTAGGGAGTTTTGGTATAAAATTACATTACATAAGCTCAAAATCTTCTTGAAATATCGCCCGGAAATGATAGTGTTACACACAGACAGAATGTGTAAATTTACGACCTTGAACTTTGACCATTTGACTTCAAAATCAATAGGGGTCTTCTTTAGTCTATAGGGAGTTGCTATGCTAAATTTCATTGTAAAGGCTCAAAGGGTTCTCGAGATATCGTGTGGAAACGAAAGCGTTACAGACCGACAGAAAGACGGACGGACGGACAAACCCAAATTAATATCCCCCACTTTTCAAGCGGGGGACAATAATGTGTTGGTTATTTCAGCGATACAAATTTGCACGTAGAAGCTTGATTTCTACATTTAAATAGCCAACATAATTCAACTTCATTGAGATATGTACAGAAAAACGTTTTTTCCTCCGTTTTATTTGGAAGGACTGTTTCGGGAATAAAAGTTTAGAAGCATTCCCTTAATGTACAGAATAGCATTCCTTAATTATGTTTTGAGTGATTTTTAATCACATCATAAATATAATATTGATTTATGTTCCTTAACATATCTATTATATTAGATATTATATCACCTTGAACATTGTACGGAATCCGCCTTTCTGTTTAAATATACCTAGTGAAAAGACCCTTTTAAGTCATTATTTTCACCTCACCAAGAAACAATATTATCTTTTAACATAAAAGTAGAGGATATCCGCAGTTAAGAAATGTTATTTTTCAAGCCAACTGTTGGTTATATTGTATATTGCAAACATATTGAAATTGATGTATATTAACAAAAACTCTACTTTTTTAGGTGTTCTGATATATTATATAATCTCATGTTTTGTTTGCACTGGACAAGAAACTGGGTAAATATAATCTTTTTATACAATGTTTTGATACTCTAAAAACAAAACAAATATTATATACAAAATCTTAATTCAAAGTATATTTGTGTAGATAAAATGTACACTAAAAATTGCATATAAATGGGTCAGCTAGATAATTTCGTAAGTTCTATTTTCTATACAATGACCTTGTCAGCAAATACAATTTATCATTAAGTCAAATGCCGACTGACGTTTTTCATATTTATTGTTAGTCCATTATTTATACATTGAATTGACGACAGATTTTTCTGTTAATTCCCGATCATGCATGACAAGGAGAACACCGTGGATGTGCCTGTCAGCATGGGAAGCTCACTCCTCCATGGCATCTGGTCCCACTTCTGATGTTTCTGAGGTCCGTGTTTGCTCCCCTCCTGATTTGTATTGATTTATGGACTTTGAAATTGAATACTATACAATTATGGACACTTTTGGTTGTTAATATGGTTTGTTATTCACCAGAAAAATATTCATATCGACCGAGGCGAAGCCAATATGGATATTTATATATATTAAGAGTCCATAATTGTTTTATTATATAGTTTGAATGTGAAAAAATGAGACATCGAAGGCTTTATGACGACACCATTTTCATAAACGAACTTCCGTCGTTGAAAAAAAATATATTACAGTTTGTAACCTCCGTGTTTTCCTTTCCGAGTTTCGCTGTGTAAGATGTCCAAATGTTTAAACATAATCCTGCAATAGGTTTGTAGAATATTTTTCCTGCTCAGATATGTACCCAGCTGCGGCCGTTGCAGTCATTGTTTACAACATTGTTTGAGTTGTTGATTGTGACATCACAATAACCCGCCGGTGTATATGACCTCAAATCCAGCCAATATGTAGTGTTATAACTGTTTGCGCTTGTATAGAATATATAGGGAATATAAATGGACTACATAATGTTCGTTTTCTACACATCCTTCTTACATAAAAAATGATCCAAATGATTTCATTCTAGATGATCTTCCAATTCAATGTGAAACAGAGTTATACCTTTTTTTAACATTTTTTCTAAAAAAGATATATTTAAACCGTTTTGCATTATTTTTTAGGTTACACGTGAGAAAATAGAAAACATATTTACGTTATTAGCAGATCCATTTCTGTATTCATATGAAGCAGAATTTGTCTAAAATCTTAATCATGAAAAGAAGAAAAACACTTGTTGTGGCGTTCAACTCGACATTTAGATATATCGCGGACGTTTTGTCAATTAACAATTAACAATGTTTATTTCCATTATTATGTTAATACGATACAATGTATATCCCGATGAGCTTGAAATGAGTCTGACACATATGTTTCATATTTTGAGATGATTTAATTGGAAAAAAAAAACATTAATGGTAATCTAACAATCGACCTGTATGATAAAAGTGATGATTTCAACCTTTCTATCGTAAGCCTCTCATACTTATGCAACAAAATACTTACATCACCTTCATACAAAGTGTATACATCTCAGCAAATTCGATACTCTAGGGCAAGCCCTACGTAAGTGCAATTTCTAAAACGAGTAATTTATCGACAAACAGGTTGATGAAACAAGAATTTCGGCTAGCTCGTTTTAAGTCATCATTTCGTAAGTTCTATAGTCGATACAATGACCTTGTCAGCAAATGCAATTTATCATTGAGTCAAATGCTAACTGGCTTTTTTCATATAAATTTAAGTCCATTTTTATACACTAAATATCAATGAATTTTCCTGCTAGTTCCCGATCATGAAAAAGAGCAGATGACGGGTCTGAACGGTCGGCAGGGGATGTACAGTCCTCTATGGTACCTGATCCCGCCTCTGATGTTTCAGGTGCCCATGTTTGCTCTGCTACTATTTTGTATTGTTTTATGGATCTTGAGATAGAATACTGTTTGATATCTCGTTATATTTCATTTACAAAATATACAAACAAGATAAAGGATTAATGATAATTGATTGCAATTTACGAATTTATGAAAGATTCCAGTTGCAAATCGATAATATTCATTTATTTAACCAATTTTACAAATATCTTGAAACATGAATAAAGAACATGTGGGTATGGGGACTAAGTTCCAACAGTGCGCGAAACGTAAAGTTGAAAAATAAATCTCAATTATTTCCAACTTTTCTTTGATATTTCAACTAACATTCAAGTATACTTAAAGAAAAAACAACAGAGAGAGTGCCTCAAAGATCGGGTAGTCCGTGCATCTAGTGAAGTCACAAGATCACAGTACAATATATGTAGTCAGGTACCAACAACAGAAAACTGCATAGTTATGGTGCTGCTCAGTAATATTCTTTTGCTGATAAAATGCATGTTTTTAAAACTATGAATAAACTATTATTCAGGTTTTCTTTTTACTGTTTTAAAAATTAATAAAATATTTTTTTTAACAAAACCAGGTTGGCTTAGCAAACCCCTCTAGTTTTGACAAATTCTCCAGTTTATGTAATTTTTTCTTCAGTTTGAAATTTCATTAATTGTACACGTGCTTTTATATTCCAAATCATATAATTATCAGTATATACTCGAGTAAATTGAAAAGCACTAGTCAGGGATTCTGAAAAAAATTAAATTTTTAATTTGTTTTAGTGTTTAAAAATTTTGCACATTAGTTGTATCTTGGAAGTCAGCTTGACATATAGGACTAAATTAATTGTAGGTGCATTTAAAGTAAAGACAACTTGAAGTCAACTGCTTGCATTCCTAAAATTGTCAGATTTAACAATTTTTTAAAGCAAAGTCTAAAGTCTTGTGTTAAAGTTAAATTAAATTGAAAACATTTTATTAAAAAATTGTGATGATCGGTCTTTAAAAAAACTACAAAAAGTACCCCCAAAATGCTGGAAAATGCACCATTTAGAACCATCTAAAACAAAATTTTCTCGGGGGAGGCCCCCCGAACCCCCACCTATGGGAGGGGGACACCCCATCCCATGCCCTCCCCCTTCGGCCCTTTGGGCCTCAAAACCCCCCTACATGAACTTCTGGATCCGCCACTGGTGACTGCAATCATTCTTTTTATTTGCTCGTGTGGGACATTTAATTTTCGTCGCTATTCTGGCAGAGGTAAAAAAATTATCATGTCTTTTGACTTTTCAAATACTAGTACGTATAAACGGATAAAACAATTCTACGCATTCTGTATTTTCACACACCCTGATCACTGAATCTAACGGAATAATTTTATGGTAATTGACCTTTGAAAAAGTACAGTCTTGCCTTCCTACTACCACAGCTTTGCATTTATTCATGCGAAGAAATGTGAGAATAGCAAAAGTAATGTAAAAAACTTACTAAGATAGGTTAGCGAATATGACTTACTTGAGCAATAACTAATATATATACTTTGCTACCTTTAAAGAGAATTTTGCTTTAATCTACTCTAAAAGTATCTTTAATACATTAGCGAAACGGTATGGTACATGTAGTAACTTCCTAATTAGGGGGACTTGGACCGTGAAAACTGCGTGGAACCTAAGATGTAAACATAGAATGCACCTGTTCCTTAGCTAAAAGTCCAAAATAAGAAGTTAGTGTCTTATAAAGTAGACAAAACTATGATACCACGTCAAAATAGGCATTGACATAAGACTTCTCAAATTAAATAAATGTTCATTAACAATAAGTGCCGAATGCAGGATTAATTGGATTGATTCGTGACTGATTGAAAATTGTTGTTTCACGCCGAGTCTGTAATATTTCAGCCAAATTCAGAACTTAAATTTGAGGTCCTCAACCCGTACATGTCTTCCTATGATATCAATATATGAATGAAGCATTCTCGAATATTTCGTAAAACAACATTCAATCAATCAATTTAATTTTAAATTTTGCGACTATTACTTTTTCAGAACATTCTGTTTCGAAGAGGTTATTTCATTTATTCAAAAGCGTGGCACTTACAATATCCCTAGAGAAAAATTGGAACAATACTTAAAAGGTATGAGTTTATCAATATTCCATCAAGAATATAAAGCTGATTTTAATATCTTTAGAAACCCTGAATTAGTGTTTTTAAACCATGTTAAAAGAGAAGAAATACTGCACAATCATTATGTTTCTGCTTTTAAGATATAATCCGCATTTCATTTTTACATCCCGCGCGTTACTCGAGGATTTTGGTGTAGAGAGTTTTAACCCTTTCCGGTAGTCTGTAGGTCTGTACATTTAACTGTTTGTTTGTCCACAAAACTTTAACCTTGCCCATAATCTGATAAGTTAGGGCTATATGGCTTTCATATTTCACAAGTGCAGTTTTGTTGTAAGTCGTCCCCTTTGGTTTGGACATTGACTTTGAACTTTTAGTAACTTTTGTAAAACATTTTCCAAGCTTTACCCCTTGCCATAATTTTCGAAGACTTTGTGTTATATCTTTCATTCTCCACATATGTATTTTTTATGACAAGACCTTTACATTGAAATTAATATTTTTCTACAATTTGCCGATCACCTTAGAATTTGAACTAAATTTTTGAAGTTACCCGAATGGCGAAATGGTAGAGCGTGTGATCTAGAGTCGCAGGCAGAGTAAGGAATTGATCTTTGTCGTGGGTTTTTATCCAACTGTGGGATGTGAAGACTGGTTTTTCGGATGAGACCGTATAAATCGAGGTTTCATGTCGCAGTAGGCTTTGGAACGAAAGATTCTTTGCGCAATTGTCATGGGTGCCGAGTATAGGTCAAAATTTAATAAAACTATTTTCTTTGGGTAACACCATGTTTGATCTTTAAACCTTTACCTCGGAGTGTAATCAAGGACAAAGGTATTAGTCTTGTCCTCATTTAAGTGTCAGTTGAAAATGTGCATTCTTATCTTTGCATTCTAAACAGGTGACAAAATATTCACAATACTGTAAAAGCACATATTTCGTGGGGTATTGAGTTTCGTTTATTTCGTTGTTAACAATTATCAACAAAATCAAATCCCAATTGAAATTTTATGTGACTATGAATAGGATTACTTTCAAAACAACGTAATTAAATGCCCACGAAATTATTTTTGATGACAAATCAACGGAATTTTAGGCCACAAAAATATGTGCTTCTACAGTAAATTAAACTTTTATTTTGAATGGATACCTGTATTCTTATGAATTTAAGTCTATTTTTATACATTGCCTCCATTTAATAAACTGATAAAAGTGGAGCTACTAACATACTTGTACGTACAAGGAAATTCTTTACGGTGAATTATATCGAAATATCGGAGTGAAAGCCTAGGAAATCTTGTATTTTAAGGAGGGGGGGGGGGGGGGGCTTTGTCCATATGTCTTTGTGTGAAATTTTCAAAACTTTGACATTTCTTTCCTGACCACTTGCTCTTAATATTTAGATATTAAAAACAATTCCTTTATGTGCTTATTTTTACACAGGAGCATGTGCTAAAACAGTGTGAAATACTAAAAATAGATTATTATTGTTCTACCCCAAATATGCGCTAAAAAGAACCAAAACTGTCAAATCACATTCAAAATCAACAAGTATTTAATTTATATGACTTGTATCTTTAAAATGAAGACAAATTCATTGTAATTCATCTCGTGTAAAAAATTATAATGGAGCACATTGTAAGTATCACCCCGTTTTTTCTTGTCGTATTTTTTACAATTCCGACATGCATAACAGGTAATATCTTAAAAAGTCTTTGTGTGAAAATGTTGTAATTCATATATTTTGAAAGAAATGATTCATCTCTTTATTTTAACAAAGAAAGAAGTACACATTTATGACAAAATAAGAAATATGACGTTTTCTTTTATTGTCGTACTCTTGTGTCATCAATATTGACCTTTCTGCACTGAAAGGGTAAGTAAGCACTGACAAACATCTGAATGTAAAACTATTTTTTCCGGAAAACGAGCATTTTGTTTGGATTAGAAAGAATTAAAACAGATAAGTCCTTTTCTTCTTCATTCCAATCATTTTGTTTCTGCCCCCCCCCCCAACCATTTCCCGTCAACAACCAACACCTATTAGGACCTATGAAAGACTTGAAACAATAAAATCTACATGTAAGCAATTATAGGTACAAGTATATTTAAACATATAAATAAACATATTTCCCTGATTTAAACCGCTTTCTTTGCTGAATTTTATCTTATCTTTTTGCACTTTTGCACTTATATATCATCGAATCCGCCGAAACATGGCTGAAAAAATGCCGACTCGGCTTTAAACAATATTCAATATATCATCGAGGTATTTATTCACAACTGTAATTGCTATGAACTATCAACCAAAGGAAGAGAATTCTAATATTAACAAACTACATAAATCAAATAAAACTTATTAATAATGAATAAATTTTCTTTTCTTTTCGTAAATTATGTACGTTATTGATTATTTTAAAACAATGTTATGCTTATATCACAGTTGCAGAAGTCAACAGGTAAAAACAAACGTTGTTATTGTGACGTCACATAACGCTGCTTTGTAGTAGAACGACACAGGTCCCCCCCAAAATATTTTATATATCTTCCTCCGTTTTTATACAAGTACCAATCACTAGTATTTACTTTGCAGAAAAATATGTTTTCGAGAGATGCCATGATAAACGTCAGTGTAGGAGAACAAATGGGGCTACGTTATGTGCTAATTTCAATGACAGAAAGGTGTGTCAGTGTTCCCAAGGCTATATGCATTTTGACCAAAGATGTATACTTAGTAAGAGTTTCATTTATCTTCACAAGTTTCGAAGTTAAAAATATTGCAACAACTATTCTTGAAAGAAGGAATGTTAAAACAGTAACCTTATATTTTTAGCAAACATAACTTATGATCACTCTTTAGGAAATGTTTCTCTCGATGCAACTTGTGAGTTGACAGACCAGTGCATAATGAAAACTAAAGGCAGTGCTTGCCTCAAAGAAGACGAGAATAGAAAAACATGTCAGTGTGATGTTGGATTTCAAAGATATGGGAATGAATGCAGAATATTCACAGGTATAACTGTCAAACTGGTATGTGAATGGTAAGTATTCATATGAAAACAACATTTTGAAAGCGTTTACGTGTTTAGTTTACGCATTCCTTAGCTATTATTTAAAAAAAAACGGTTATTGAAATGATAAAAAAGTATATATTATTCAAATATTACTTTGTAATAGAATTTATCGTATAAACAGGTATAATTTACCTTTTGAACAGTTATAGTAGAGAGACGCTGTTTTAATGCTAAATAACGATGTTGTAGAAAAAGTTAAAGCTAAACAAGCTGAAAATTACCACAAGCATGTAAAATATCTTAAGAATTACAATGTAGAAATTTTGTTGATAATGCACTATCATTGAGACTTATTGGACTTTTCTATAAAAGTGGAAGCGACATACGAAAACGTCTGCCACATTTAACCCATGCAAGAAGATCAAATTAACCTAAGAACTATTTTTAAACATACAATACCGATAATTAACAACAATAGACCCATTGAAGAACCCTTTTAACACCGAACATTTTCGTTATATTCTTCTACATATAAAAAGATCAGTAACATACATATTTAAATTTATATTTCACAAATGGAAATTTTCTTTCTTTTGTTTATTAGGGATACATAATTTAAAAATTCCATAAATATTCCAGTTGTATGAATAAAGCGATCAATATTCAAACCGAAAAGGCGGCGAAACATTATGTTTTTGAAGTTGATCAAACACGAACCTCTTTAGGCATCAAATATAAGATCAGATGCCATAAAAGGTAATAATCTTCTGTCTGATTTGTCTGACCAGTGTGTTCTTTGTCATGACATTTATTTGTAAGACGCCAAAGTGCGATGGTGACCCAAAGTCCGATGGTCTCGACAAACCCCGATGGTCTGCGCCAGATTCCGATGGCTTGTTCTATTTACGGACGCAAAAGTCCGATGGCTCGTTCCTAAGAGAAAAATGCGCTAAAGTGCGATGGTCTGATACGCCGTGGTCCGATGGTGTGGAAAACAATCAATCATCATGACGTCCTGCATTCAATCAAGCATTGAATTCATATTTGTCGGCACGGCCAAATGTGTTATAGGACCAAAGACATCCCAAAATATGAATCCAATGCTTATATTTACATTCTCTTATTTCCCTTTAGCATAACTGTTTATTTCGTTCACGTTTATAATGTGAATTTAGCGCCCTTCGGTATTGGTGTGCTTAATAAACGTAATAACCGTTCCTGACGTTAAATGCCGTTTGTGACAATGGAAAGTTAAATAACGCAAATAAATATAGCGTGAAAAAAATGGCATATTAATTTTTAATTTGTTGTATTTTATATTAATTTTGAAATGTTTTTTTTTAAAATGAAATTTAGTCAAAACAATATACATTTTGATGTTCCTAAATATTGAAAATGCATGTAGTTCTTACTGTGTATTCTACTGCGCGGTGACAAGGTTTCGCGTGTGTTTTAGAAATTTCAACGTCGTGGATTTTTAATGGATTTCATAAAGAAAATTACACTGAATGTAAATATATTCCAATATTTATATTTGCTGTGTTTCTTTACTGTCAACTGTGAAATTGATTTGATTACCATTTTCGTGTAAACTCATGCGTAAAAATATACACAGAGAAACGTGCGTTAATGTGACGTCACAATAAGGCTACAGCGACGTTAGTAAAAGTATAACGATATAGGGCGGCGAGAAAAAATCAAACATTGGGTATATTTTCGGTGCTTCCATACATGTAAAATGTGAAGCTAGCGCGCATCATGAAATATGCCTACGGGACATGTGTGATTCATACACCAATAACTCACAAAAATTTTGAAAACATTCCTTAAATATTTACATTTGCTGATGTCTTTCCTTCTATAACAACGATAATGAAATTCAATTTTCTATGACATGCAGTTGCTCACATGATCAGATATTTTGCATATGGAAAGCAAACCTTTAATGTTTAAGAGGCCAGATTTTACCCTGCTTCTGATCTGTATTGTGTTCGGGAGTTTTGAACTCGAATACTGTTTGTTATCTATATGTACTTATATTTCACCCAACACCAACTTAAAGCTATATAATAAAATGAATTTTATGAAGGGGACCTTCGATCAGTGTTATGTTTTGACCAATTATATATAATACTTTTTCTAAGGTTCACCCATATTAAAAGTAACAAAATGGCAATTTTGTTAATGCGGATGTAAGTAATCATTACAAAAATGAAAAAAAAAAAAAATTCAACCCGCTGTCATTCATTGCCACGATCTTCAGTCCCGCATTAAAATGGAAGAAAGAATTGATATTCACTTCACTACAAAATCCCGCAATACTGATTATTTTACACAATGCCTGGAATATTTTATCCAATTTCATTATTTTTCTTTTAAGACATTCCTTCTCTTCAATATCAAAAAATAAACATTACAATGGTATCGTCATTTTTTCCGAAGATCCTTTTTTGTTAAAAAAATATCAATGAACCTTAATATTTAAAGATGCAAATGATGAAGTTTATTGCCTGAGTATTTTTGTTGCTGAGTATCTCATATCGTTAATACGTCTCTATTTCAGAGATTATTATTTCAACCGTTGCACCCGTAGGCTCCATTGGATTTCAAAGTTCTTCAAAAAGCTATCCAAGTAAGATTTCTTTGTTCTTTTTAACCCACGAAAAAGATGACATTAAAGGAACACGCATTTAAATTATTTGAGGATAAAAAAACCTTTTGAATTTTTTAAAAATATCTTTTAAAAAGTGTAATAAGTATTTAATCACAGCGTAATTTAAACTGACTTTCTTGACTGATTTCTCAAATTATAAATCAAGTAGATAACTTTACTTCCGATTGTATCCATAGGCCACTGGGGCTGACATGAATATATCCTATCAAAGGTTAAATGATTGGTATAAATGTCTCTCACTCAGAGTAAAGTCTTTTATTATTAAAAAAAATCTGTAGTTCTGTCTTGAAATGTGAGCAAAAGATGTTTTAACCGTTAAAATTTCTACTAATAATTTTTAATAAAGTCAAGAAAAATATCGATGAAAAAATGGAAATCTTTATTTGAAAGTTTAAGAAGTACGTTTGACACTGATCTTGCTAAAACTAATATACATATAGTTTTAGAGATAGGAATTTTGCTCTTGTTTATTACCAACCCCTGAAAATTGACCACATACGAGTTCTATTACATGAATGATTTTTTAAACATCAAATTAAACAACTGATAGAAATGCTGAATTTTGAAATGTCCCAAATACATATTTAAATACATTTATATTTTATTTCAAGCGAGCCTCAACTTGATACATATTTCGTCTTTTCCGAGAAAGAGCACAGTTATTATTTTACACAATAAACACTTCCTTTTTGCATTATGTCGTTAGGCAGCTTTGTCATTTTTCGGTGCCACCTTTCGACAAAACTAAGACGAGTATGGAAATATGAAAAGTACTTAGAAAAATATTAAGCTTTAAAAAGTCAGTTTGAAAAATGCAGGTACATAATAATTAATGTTATTTGTGAATATGTATGCTAGAATCAAACAATGAAACATTAGAGATAACAAACAGTATTCAAAATCAAAAGTCCATCAAATAATAGAAAATAGGAGCAGAGCAAACACGGACCTCCAAAACATCAGAGGTGGGATCAGATGCCATGGAGAAGTGAGCATCCCCTTTAGACCGCTCACATTAGTCCTGTGCTCCTTGTCAAAATCGGAAAATAACGGAAAATCCGTTATCAATTCAGTGTATAAATAAATAACTAACAATTAGTATGAAAAACGTCAGTCAATCAACAAATGCTACATTATACGATTTATAGATAAAGCCCCCTTCAAAACATCGACGTTTAAAACTTGAGATACTGACTTCGAAGAACATTAACAATTATAATAAGATATTCAATACATATTTGGATCATGTATCGTACTGAAGTTTAGAAATGTTAAGTTTTGTTGCGAGAAGAATGCGACCTATATTATACCCCCCGCTTGAAAAGTGGGAGGGTATACTGTAATCGGTATGTCCGTCCGTCCGTCTTTCTGTCCGTCCGTCTGTTATGCTTTAGGGTACCCATCTCTTATCCGCAACTCCTCTTATACCACTGAGTGAAATTTAATGAAACTTTTACAGAATCTTCATTACATATTGCCATTGTGCACCTATAATTTTACTTTTTTGATCCGACACATATTTTGGGTTTCCCGGCCACAGCAAAACATGGACTTTCTCATCAGTTATAACCATATTGGAGGTGGGGGTATCATTTACTGAGCTCATCGCTCATAGTACCTCTAGTTTGTGTGAAAAATCATGTGAGCTACAAATACTTTTGATTCAGGTAATGATGTATTACATAAAGTTCTTTATTGAAATTTGAATAGTTTCTTTTTATAATGATTAAATGAAATCGATATTTTATTTGCAAAAAAAGATGTCACATCAATAATTGAAGGACATCAAGATCATCCATGCAACAGACCCAGAACCTTTATAGGTAATATTTTCACTTTTTGTTAAAATCTAAATGCATGTCAAACAATATACGAGGGTGAATCCAAAAGTTTGTGGATTTGGTTTTAAAAAATACCTTTTACTTTTGAGAATGTCAATTTAAGCGCTATTAGCTTTCAACTTCAAAACTGTTGTCATAGCTTAGGAAAATTGGGGTTATGTGGTAATGTTTGAAAAAATGAATTTAGAAGAGGTTGGACCCTCTGTCCCACCAGATAGGATCTTCGAATGTGTACATTGATAATCCAAAGCTCATTTTGATGAATACTTTACATTTATACACGAGGGCTAAGAAAAACTAAAATATTATAAAATCAACCAAATAATGGTATCATTTTTATATTTGCGTTTAAATGGTGATTATGTCCATGTGTCGGTAAATTATTATATTAACGATCCATTATATCAAATTATGTTTATAAATCGAGAAATAATGTTCAAATGTTTGCCATTTGTTCGAATACCACCTCGTTATATCCTGCAATTTTCTTAATAGGATATATCAACTTAATATATATATCATGAGCATATATATATATATATATATATATATATATATATATATATATATATATATATATATATATATATATATATATATATATATATATATATATATATATTAGGGATGTCAACGAGTACCCGGTTAACCGGGTACTCGATCGAACGTCCAAGTATCGAATACTAGAATCGGTACTCGGTTACTCGGATGTATATTTTTGAATATTTCTATGTTTATTTATCAATGCATTAAACAATCTGTTTTAAAACGTAAAATGTTCATAGCACTTGTACATACAGTAATTAGGGTTTCCTACGCCTCTAATTGACCGTTATCGGCTGTGGCAGTGTTTATACAGTAATTATCGTGACCAAACACCTGCTACCTCGCTTTTCTCACCTTTGGCTGTCTTCTACCCTATTTTTGGTTTGCTTTAATTATTTGTTTTCCCTGAACATCGTTTAAGGTCTATTATGTTTGAATAAATTAGATAATTTTGTCAATTCTCCGAGAAGCCGCAAAATCTCGGGAAAAGAGAGAAATGATATTACACGTGCCATTGTTGATATGGTTGTGTTTGATTACACGTCAAAACAAATGGCTGAAGGCAAAGGCTTTTAAAAAAATGATATCCATCGTTGCACCAAACTTCAAAATACCGTCCCGTAATACTATATAAAATCTAGGATCGAAAAAGTGTAGGAAAATCGTAAATCCGCCCTGTTAGGAGAACTTGGTCAAGTTCAAGTTGATACTGTACGTAGCTCTGACGACTGAAACTTGTACGTCAAAAGCAACAAAGAGTTACTTTACATGTACAATTACGGAGCAGATTAATGTTTTTAAAACAAAAACACTGCGAACTACTTACGATTTTATTTCTTGTGTTTAACTTTTTCTGATAAATAAATTGAACTTAAAAAAATGTTATATTAAATTTCGTTGGGCACGAAGTGCTCATCATTGTTTCAATAGAAATACATTTACGGGTAAACCTCCTTTAAGAGCACGTGGTTTTATTTCTATAAGAGTTTAGAATGTTTTAGTCATTAATTTACTTGTTCATATTTAGTTACCCTTTTACCGAGTACCCGGGTACTCGATCGGAAGAACGTCCGAGTAACCGAATATTAAAATTGACCGATTTGACATCCCTAATATATATATATATATATATATATATATATATATATATATATATATATATATATATATATATATATATATATATATATATATATATATATATATATATACGCGAAAGCAAGTTTTTTGACTTGCCTAGATAGCCGAGCGGTCTAGCGCGCTGTTCCTGCACTGCTAGGAGACAGATTCCGAAGGTCGAGAGTTCAACCCCGGGCTGGGGCGGAAGTGGGTATCCATGTAAAAGTGAATTTCTTTGTGCTTTCTATATATATATATATATATATATATATATATATATATATCAAAGAATATATAGAGTATAGTAAATGTATAGATTTTTAATTGTTCTATTTATGCTCAAATGTATATGTTGTTAATTGTTGTTATTTGTCGTGCTTAAGATTCTCATGGAGATTATCAATATTATTGCAATACCACGTATATCTCACAGTTTTTAGCTCACCTGAGCCGAAGGCTCAAGTGAGCTTTTCTGATCACATTTTGTCCGTCGTCCTTCCGTCTGTCCGTCCGTCCGTCTGTCCGTCTGTCTGTCCGTCTGTAAACTTTTCACATTTTCGACTTCTTCTCAAGAACCACTGGGCCAATTTTAACCAAACTTGGTACAAAGCATCCTTGGGTGAAGCGGAATTTAAATTGTTAAAATGAAGGGACATATCCCCTCGCAAGGGGAGATAATCAAGAAAAGGCAAAAATATGGTTGGGTCATTAAAAAATCTTCTTCTCAAGAACCACTGGGCCAGTAAAGCTGAATCTTATGTGGAAGCATCTTGGGGTAGTGTAGATTCTAAATTGTTCAGATCATGACCCCCGGGGGAAGGGCGGGGCCACAATGGGGAATCAAATTTTTATATAGAAATATATAGGAAAAAATCTTTGAAAATCTTCTTCTCAAGAACCACTGGGCCAGAAAAGCTGAAACTTATGTGGAAGCATCCTGGTATAGTGTAGATTCTAAATTGTTCACATCATGACCCCCGGGGGAAGGGCGAGGCCACAATGGGGAATCAAAGTTTTACATAGAAATATATAGGAAAAATCTTTGAAAATCTTCTTCTCAAGAACCACTGGGCCAGAAAAGCTGAAACTTATGTGGAAGCATCCTTGTATAATGTAGACTCTAAATTGTTCAAATAATGACCCCCGGGGGAAGGGCGGGGCCACAATGGGGAATCAAAGTTTTAGATAGAAATATATAGGCAAAATCTTTGAAAATCTTCTTCTCAAGAACCACTGGGCCAGAAAAGCTGAAACTTATGTGGAAGCATCCTGGTATAGTGTAGATTCTAAATTGTTCAAATCATGACCCCCGGGGGAAGGGCGGGGCCACAATGGGGAATCAAAGTTTTAGATAGAAATATATAGGCAAAATCTTTGAAAATCTTCTTCTCAAGAACCACTGGGCCAGAAAAGCTGAAACTTATGTGGAAGCATCCTGGTATAATGTAGATTCTAAATTGTTCAAATAATGACCCCGGGGAAAGGGCGGGGCCACAATGGGGAATCAAAGTTTTAGATAGAAATATATTGGAAAAATCTTTGAAAATCTTCTTCTTAAGAACCACTGGGCCAGAAAAAGTGAAACTTATGTGGAAGCATCCTGGTATAGTGTAGATTCTAAATTGTTCACATCATGACCCCCGGGGGAAGGGCGGGGCCATTATAGGGAATCAAAGTTTTAGATAGAAATATATAGGAAAAATCTTTGAAAATCTTCTTCTCAAGAACCACTGGGCCAAAAAAGCTGAAACATATGTGCCCATGGAAGGATCATGGGGTAGTGTAGATTTCAAAATGTCTAAATTATGATCAGTAGGGTAGGGTGGGGATGCATTAAGTATAACAAGGGGGAAATCTTGTAAAGAACAGAATGGTCAACGCTTCTCAGGTGAGCGATGTGGCCCATGGGCCTCTTGTTAAAACAGAACCATTATACAATCCACGAAAATTAAACAAAATACTGCATAGTAAGGTATTATATTGACAGCTTTACGTCGTGGTGTTTCTTTTATGGTCAAAATGTCTATCTGCACAAGAAATGAATTTTAGAAGTCGTAATATGGTTATTGCCTCTAATATCAAATGTTGTCACAATATTATAAAGTGAAGTAAACATTTCATCAGTTCAATTTATTTTCAGTTCGGAATAATTGAAAAATCAGAAATCAATTTATATGTTAAGTTCTCAGACTTTGTTTTTCATTATTACTACCAAAAAAATTATGGTTAGAAAATGCTTTTTTATTGCACTTCTCCAACGGGTTAGTGATTACGATTCACGCAAGATACGTTCTTTAAACTTTTCTTTTATTTTGTTTCAGATAACGAATGGTTTATAATTTCTGTGGCATCTGCTGGGTTCGGTCTCGGTATTATTTGCAGCAGCATCGTATTCCTTGTCATTTGGAAATGTAGAAACCGAAAAAAGATGTATATATTTATAAGATATTTGAAAAAAAAGCTTTCAGAATATTAGAATAATGGACAAAAATTACTTATCTCAGATTTGTTAAATATACAATGTTTTTAAAGAAAAACGATAACAATTATTTATTTCTTGGGGTCATATATAAGTTATATGCATGTACAAAGTATTTTTTTTCGTTCCTTTTGTTTATAGTTCATGTACTGAAAAGTACCCTGTATCAGATACCACAACAGAGATGTACAAAACCTCCCACGGCAACAATGATATGCATGGAGAAAATGAAGTGAATTTTAAGGTTTTACCTCATCATTACTTTACATGATAATCATCTCTCTATCAGATACCTTATTTTTCATATGATGTAACACATCATGTTTTGTTCTCCTTTTAGATTGTTTATTCAAACCAGAACTCAAATCCCTATAGTCATGCGAGAAAGGTTTCAACAGAAGATGATGTTTACAATCATTTAAGAGAAAGTCCAGAAGTATTCCTTAATCATGACATTTATGATGTTTCTCAGCCTTTGTCTGTTAATGTGAATTCTGGATCATCGACTGGTGACTACGAATTGGCAAAGAACACGTTTATGACTGCATTATAAAAAAATGTCTCCATATTGTCACCACAGTCCAAAAAAAGAAGGACATATTTCCTCACGATTGTTATTTTTTTTTTAAATACGAGGGGTGATAAAAAAAATTCGCTAACTATCTCTATATTTACAAAACCACGATTCAGATCAGAGTTAAATTTGGCACACGTATAGTCAAGCACATGTTTTTAAAAGCATATGAGAGGTAATGATTTTCTCCATGATTGTGACGACACAATGTGAAAATAACGTCAATATATAGGTGACTGGTAATTAATGAAAATTGGTTGTCACAGTCTTACTAGAGCAACAAATGGCTGTAAAGTTGAACGTATAACTTTGAAATTCCTTTGAAGTATCTTTTAATGATTTGTACAAGGCTTATGAAGACAATAGACTTTCTAGACATTCAGTCATTAATTGGATTGATTGTGATATTATTATTAAATCCCTAAAATATCGTTAAGTTTAATTTAGACTTTTAACATGTTAAAAAGATAAAAAGAAGGCCCCAACAACTATATCCATATTATTTAAACTGCATTCCTACATGTAAGACAGAAGGCTCGTGTTGTGATGGTCACCATGTTCTTTCTGGGAAAGGATATCCTTATCCATCCATCCTATTCCCGAGATTTGGTCATTTCTGACAAATGGACTGTTCTTGTCATAAAAATCAACTTGCATACTAAGAAATATAAAACTCGGAAAAATATTTTAGAGTCTGTGAACAGAATGCTTCAGACATGTCATGTGACCACCTGAGTCACGTGATTCGTGCAACGGCAGAACGGTGGCAGACGTGCATTATAATCAGAGTGTCCTACTTTAAAATAATAATGACCACTGAAACCTAATTTTTTGTTTTGTTTTATGGATGCTATTCAATTTGTTCTCTAACTTTTTAATCACCCCTCGTATTCCAATAAAACATACGCAATTTTGTTAAGTGAATGTAAAGGCATTTGTAAAACTCCACGATACGTTTTACTTGCGGTCTGAAAAAAAATTGACTTGGAATTAAGGTTCCATAAAAAAGAAAAATTTACAGGATTTTAAATATAGTAAAAAATGCTAACTGAAGACATATTGAAGACATATTACTTAACAGGAGGTCTCTGGGACACATACATGTAAATCACCTGAGCACATGAGCTAGAAAAAAAAATGCAAAAAGCGAAAATAAGTTCAATATTAAGGGGGGGGGTTGGGGGGGGGGGTTGGGTTTTAAATTACCTGATTATGCTGCCATATCAATATAACAAATGTCTTTGTTGTTCCTAACCAGATATTTTCCTATTTATTCACTTTCAACTGAGGATGCTTCCATATACGAGGGTTGTTCGAAAATTATTGAGACATTGTGTGTATTTTGCTTTCTAATGAACGTCTTTTGGTGAAATTTTGCCTATACCTTTGACATAAACTTAGAATTAATAAAAGCAAAAAGTATTTTACAAATATTTGATATGTTGTGTACAATGCTAAATAAATGCGTCAATAGGAGGGGTACCCGGAGTGGTCACGAAATCAGATATTGAAAATATGTAACACCAACGTTCTAACTCTTCGTGGACCTATGATAAGAGCGAAAATAATTCAGTTTATGTGTATCATTTTTCAGCTTTATTTCAAATTCATGCTCTGCAACTTTGTAAGAATTTTGATCACAAATACGGAGATAATTAAAACAATAAAGCGCGGTAGAGAAATTTGCAAAGAACGAAAAAATGGATTTTGACGTCAAGGGCGGAGCAGCCAGCATACCTAAAATTGTGTGTATCGCAATGTAGAACTCTTTTCCAGACAGGACGACCTGCTAAAACAATAACAACGGGAAAAAATAATGTGTTGGGTTTTTTTTATTGATAAACTTTTTTTTACAATTAATTCAACCAGAGTGAAATCAAAAGCACCGGACAACCATCAATTATTACATACGATATTAATATCATTACGGTATTTATATCGTTGACCCGCGTTGCATAAATCAGCACTGCATGATTCTAAGTCATCCTTTCCTACAAATGAAAATTTTACACTGGGGTAGCAACACCATACATTTTTAAAGAATAGGTTGAGAAGAGAGACTGTTTGATTTTTGTAAAGTTATATGTAATAACAAAGTAGGAAAAGTATTAAACGCTTTGCGATTGTTTTACAAACCATCTCCGGCTGACGTGACGTTAAATGACGTAGCGATGCTGCTCTGGGTCGATAGACATATGCATGTTTATCATTCCACCGAAACTTTTCTTATTATCATAGGAATTAGAAGTTTTGCATAATTGTTTAATTCGTTCTTTATAAAATGTTGATGAATTTTCATGAAATTATCTCCATCCCTTATGGAGTAAATGTAATTGTCTCAATAACTTCCGAACAGTCCTCGTATGACCAATCATGGATTTGCTTTTCTTGAGAATATTCTTAACAAAATTTTCTTAATACATTTCTATGCAAAAAAACTTTGATTCCTCATTGTGGCCCCACCCCACCGGGGATCATGATTTAAACAATCTTAAATCTACACTACTTAAGTCTGATTCCATGTAAATATTACCAATCACAACTTTGCTGTTCTTGAGAAAAAAATTAAAAAAATTTTTTCAGGTAATCCTATGTCAAACTTTAATCATCCATTGTGGTCCCACACTCGGGTCATAATTTGAATAAATTTAGATTTACAATATCTAAAAAGGTATCCACATTAGTTTTATCTTTTCGAGCCTAGTGGTTCTAAAGAAGAATTTTTTAAAGAAGCCTTTATTTTAAATATTTTTTAATCATGTCCCATTGAAAGAGGGCGTGGCCCTTCATTTGAACAAACTTGAATCCCCTACACCCAAAGATACTTTGTGACAAGATTGGTGGTGATCATGATTTAAAACAACTTCTGCAACACAGTTATTTATCGCAGATTACATAAAAAGAGTGCATTTTTGTGAACTTGTGTACTTTGTTACTGTTGGAACAAACTTAAGTGGAATTAATTTACATAATTATGTTTACAATCAATTAATTGCATATAATTCAGTACAGTAGAGAAAAAAACACACAGGTAAATTTAAAATAATTAATCATAGTTCTTGTAGATTACTTATCATTAAAAAAAACTGTATATATTCAAATACTTTATCATATCTACGTATAGCATGGTTAAAAAATCTTAATTTTGAAGAAAGAAGTAATCTTATAAAAGTAGAATTATCAAAATGTTATGTTTAATCTAAAATTTAATTAGTTTTCTCTGAGAAGAAATATAAAATCATAGAACACTTATCAAGACTAAATTCCATTGAATAATTAAACAAAAGCTGGGAAAAAACGAAATTTGTACATTTCTTCCATTTTTTTTTCTTCAAGTAAAAGTCGAACGCGTTGCGCAGTGGTTAGAGCGTCTGCACTAGAGTTGCAATATAAGGAGTTGATCCTTACGCCGCGGGGTTGAATCTCACTGTGGGACGTGGAGGTCCTGTGTCGCAGTAGGTGCTTGCACGAAAAAGATCCCTCCCTGCTCAATGGCCCAAAGTGCCGAAGTATAGGACAAAATTTCATCTCCACCGGCAAGTGGTGGCTTCTCCATATGAGTGAAAAATTCTCGTGAAGGACATAAAACAATATGCAATCAATTAATCAATCAAAGTTAATAATTTTTTTTCCTTCATACCTTCATACGAGTGATCAAAAAGTCTTTCTCCATAAAGTGTATCTACATAACTACAATTCATATCAAACGAAATGACATGAAGTCATAAACGTGTTATATAAAGAGCATGCGTTATATAAAAAAGTTATGATAAACTTTATGATATAACAATGTAAAAATGATGTCAATATTTAGATGAGAAAAATCTTGAAAAAATCTTTTTCCTACCAGCATCTACTGCGACACGGAACATCGGTCTTTACGATCTGTGTCGACGTCCCAAAGTGACATTTGAAACAGCGACGTAAGGATTTAGTCCTTTATCTGCGACTCTAGAGCAGACGTCCAAACCACCTCGCCACACGGTCAACTTTTCTGAAGGTAGAGAAAGATATAAAAATGATGTTTTCTCTATGACCAGTAAAATTAGTTTGGAAGGCTATATGTGTTTGTAGTTGATCAAAATTAATCAAAATATTGTCGATTAACAGTAATAGAGATGATTAAAAATACCAACAACAAAAAAAAAATATCTTAAAACCCTATTTTATACCTTCTAACATCAATATAATAAAGAATAATCAAATGTAAAGATATTTTACATGAGAAAGAAGTAAAATGAGTTTCTTTCAAATATCCACACCATGAAATGGATTTTTAATACAACTGACAAACAATTGATATGAAAAATGTCAGTTAGCATTTGACACAATGATAAATTGTACTTGCTGACAAGGTCTTTGTATCAACCATAGAACTTACGAAATGGTGATTTTAAACAAGGCTTCTAAAATTTGCATTTCATCAACTTAGTTGTCAATAATTTACCTCGTATTAGAAATTGTTCATACAGCAGGCATAAAACTAGAGAAAGTCATTCTATGTGGCATGCGTAAAGAGTAAGGAAGCATGTCGTGAAGCATACAGCTCTAAGCAATACAATAACATGTTTATAAACAAACACAAGGAAGCATATAAGGTAGTATCACATAACCTTAAATAGATCTCCTAAATGATAACTAACAGTAAATAACTAATTTTAACCATCCCTTAAACAAAACAATAAAAACAACAAAAATAGGTAGATTTCTATTATAACTTGTGCTTTAAAAAATGCTTTCCTTGAATGACCACATCCGCTGTAAGCTCCTTGTGTCGATCATATAAAACAAAGACTAGGACCTTTAATTAAGAAAGGGAAAAGCTAGTTAGTATAAATGTGTTTTCGGTAGTCATTCTTTTTGAAGACAAAAACTGTGGAAAGTTTGTTCCATGGAAGGAAAATCCTTATAATAAAATTATTAAGTGGTTTAAAATCAAAATATGATACCTTGGAAAGTGATTTTGCAATTGAAGCTATTTACCAGAAAATTATTTAAGTGTTATTACTTAAAACATGTTATTTTCAGGGAAGTTATTGACAATTTTCCGAAATAGAATTTGAACTTTTTAAAATTAAATGACCATGAAATAAAATTATAAATTAAAGCTTTGATAAAGCCATTAAGTGTGTAAATTTTACTAAATGAAGACTTAAATCATAGAGGTTACTTTGTTAAGAATTGATGATGAGAAGACGTGACAGAAAATTCTATGAGCTAACATGTAAGTTCTTTTTAAGATCCAGAAATAAATTTCCTCATATCAGTGCTGTCTTCCAAATTGCCTTGGAATTTTAAAAATCAATTCTAAGCTCTTTCTATTTTTGAAAAGGAAATCTTTCATTAAAATTGTAGAATAATCATAATTAAACACATGTTCATTAAATGTAATTCTTA